AAAATCGGACGTAGAGGGAACCTTGCAAAACGTCAATATGTGACGAGTTGGGAGTGAGAATGGGTTGGTTATTCAGTGATCTGATGATTTGTTTGGGTTTAAAACGTGGTCTTCAGTGGTCTGATGGTTTGTTTGGGTTTAAAACGTGGTCTTCAGTGGTCTGATGGTTTTTTTGGGTTTAAAACGTGGTCTTCAGTGGTCTGATGGTCTGTTTGGGTTTAGAACATGTTCTTCAGTGATCTGGTGATTTGTTTGGGTTTAGAACATGGTCTTCAGCGGTCTGATGGTCTGGGTTTAGAACATGTTCTTCAGTGGTCTGATGCTCTGTTTGGGTTTAAAATGTGGTTTTCAGTTGTCTGACGGTCTGTTTGGGTTTAGKACATGGTCTTCAGTGGTCTGACAGTCTGTTTGGGTTTCGAACATGGTCTTCAGTGGTCTGATGATTTGTTTGGGTTTAGAACATGTTCTTCAGTGGTCTGATGCTCTGTTTGGGTTTAGAACATGGTCTTCAGCTGTCTGATGGTCTGTTTGGGTTTAGAACATGGTCTTCAGTGGTCTGATGGTCTGTTTGGGTTTAGAACATGGTTTTCAGTGGTCTGACGGTCTGTTTGGGTTTAGAACATGGTCTTCAGTGGTCTGATGGTCTGTTTGGTTTTAGAACATGTTCGCTGCTGAAACCAAAGCTTTCATCAAGAACGTGGGACTCCAAGAAACTCTCATCCCCAACTCAAACCTAAACGACAAAATGGATCTCCTGACTCTGGTGAAAGTCAGCGAGGGAAGTTTCTGGCATTTTCCAAAGTACCAAAAGATCCTGTGGACCCTGCCTGACCTGATAGAGGAGGAGTTTTCTCCAGGTGAGTTACATGACACACACACACACACAAAACCTGTTTGAAAGCTGTATCACCTTCCTGCCAGATGCTGTGGAGGAAGTTCTGGTGAAGGACTTCATAACGTCTGTAGAAACCAAAGGGTCCAGTAGGTTGGGGGGAGGAGAGCCGACTGTGGGAGAAGCTAAGMTCTCTGCAGGCACCGACTGTGTGGACTGTCTGGAAGAGCCTGTCAGCATCCAGAAGACCAGAGCCAATGTTGAGAAGATGAGGAAGGTGTTAAGCGGCAGGTACAGTCCTGTACGATTCTGTATGGTCCACCACAGTGGTAACACTGGCCCAAACAGACACTAACAGTTTCTGCTGCTCCTSTCTGTCAGAACCATCAAACAGGACAAGATAAAAAAGCTGAAACTGAAGAAGGAGGACAAACTGACCTTTGTTCATGAGAAAGTTTACAACACCGGATCTGTGAAACTGAKCAAAAAGACCCAGTATGACGGGTCCATCTCAGGTTCCTGTCGGAAGATGTTGGATCTTCTCATCACGGTGAGTCCACTCTCAGACACATGGTACCATCACATGACTGGTTCTGGGAGTAGAACTTTACACAGAACATGTTAGAAAAACATTTGGGTACCTGAGGTTCAGGCTCTGGTCGGTACCTGAGGTTTAGTCTCTGGTCGGTACCTGAGGTTCAGGCTCTGGTCGGTACCTGAGGTTCAGGCTCTGGTCGGTACCTGAGGTTCAG